TTCCTGCCCACAGTAGTAGATATAATGGTCATTTGAGTTAAATTCACCCATTCCAGTCCATTTTAGTTCACTGAGTCCTAGAATGTCAACATTCACTCTTGCCATCTCCTGTTTGACCACTTCCAATTTGCCTTGATTCATGGACCTAACATTACAGGTTCCTATGCAGTATTGCTATTTACAGCATCGCACCTTGCTTCTATCACCAGTCACATCCATAACTGGGTATTGTTTTTGCTTTGGCTCCATCCCTTCATTCTTTCTGGAGTTATTTCTCCACTGATCTCCAGGAGCATATTGGGCACCTACTGACCTGTGGAGTTCCTCTTTCAGTATCCTATCATTTTGCCTTCTCATGCTGTTCATGGGGTTCTCACATGACCAACCTAGATAACACATTAAAAAGCAGAGACATTACTTTGCCAACAAAGGTCCGTCTGGTCAAGGCTATGGTTTCTCCAGTGGTCATGTATGGATGTGAGAGTTGGACTGTGAAGAAAGCTGAGCACCGAAAAATTGATGCTTTTGAACTGTGGTATTGGAGAAGACTCTTGAGAGTCCCTTGGACTGCAAGGAGATCCAACCAGTCCATCTTAAAGGAGATCAGTCCTGGGTGTTCTTTGGAAGGACTGATGCTGAAGCTAAAACTCCAGTACTTTGGCTACCTCATGCGAAGAACTGACGCATTGGAAAAGACCCTGAACCTGGGAGGGATTGGGGGCAGGAGGAGAAGGGGACGGCAGAGGATGAGATGGCTGGATGGCATCACCGACTCAATAGGCATGAGTTTGAGTAGACTCCTGGAGTTGGTGATGGACAGGGAGGCCTGGTGTGCTGCAATTCACGGGGTCGCAAAGAGTTGGATATGACTGAGTGACTGAACTGAACTGAGATGGTGTTTGCCTCACCTGGTGTGAATCACTTGGGAATACAAACTGCTTCAACAATTGACATATCTCTAGGGCTAAGACAATAACTGACCCAGTTTATGTTGGATGGATTAATTATTAAATAAGTCAAATTAAATAATCTCGAATTCAGTAGCCAAACCTTGTCTTTACATGAATAATTTGAATGAAAAATTCTCAAACAAGTGTTAAGTGGGGCTTGCAGTATTAACGAGTCCAGAAATTCTTAGAGGTCTCCTTCAGGTTGCATAACAAATAAGCATTCATTTATTATCACCAGTACATAAAGACATCCGAGTTGCACTAAGACACATGGGACAAAATCAGTAAAGTTGGTACTCATTAGCATAGGCAAAATAAATATTATGTATCCATTTTTTAAAGTTCCTGTGATAGTCTGACTAGTTTTGTTTGCAAGAGACACAAGGACAAAAATGAAATCGAATGCTTTTGCGGAGAAGAAATTCCCTGGATGAGCAGAAAAGCCTGCAAAAGTTTTGTGTTTTCTGTTCGTTTGAAACAGGATTGAGGGGTCTTATAATCAAGATGAAGCCATTAAGAGTTAAAAGGGAAAGGACACATTGAAGAGAGTCAACTAAGACCCTGGTGAATTATCAAAAACTCTGAACTACTTTCTTAGTGAGAGTCTAAGGTCTGAGCAATTCATGAGGAGAAAAGGCAGCGGTCCCGCAGCACCTGGAAATGAGGACTGCTACATTTAAGGAGACTGACTTGGGCGTGGCATTTTGAAGCCGGTGTCGTGTAAAATGTAGCGAATGAAAATGCCCTCTGGGAGAAGGCGAGGGTGGGATGTTTCAAGAGAACAGCATTGAAACACGTATATTTTCTAGGGTGAAACAGTTCACCAGCCCAGGTTGGGTGCATGAGACAAGTGCTCGGGCCTGGTGCACTGGGAAGACCCAGAGGGATTGGGTGGAGAGGGAGGTGGGAGGGGGGACCGGGATGGGGAATACATGTAAAAAAAAAAAAAAAAAGATACACTATGGTTGTGATAAAAAAAAATCAATTAATTAATTAATTTAAAAAAAATAAAAATAATAAAAGTCAAAAAAAAAAAAAGAAAGAAAATGCCTTCTGAAAGCCTGAGAACAGGCTGCGGCGGGGCGGGGGGCGGGGGTGCGGGGGAAGAGTTGAAGGATGGCTCTTGGTACGTCATCAAGCGTCATCAAGCGTCATCAGAGGGTAAACCCTCAGAAATACCGGCTGCTTTTGAATGAAATGAAACCCAACCTGAATCGAGCCCCTACTCAGTTCCTTAAGGAAGACAATGGTTGCCTAGGCAACACCTAAGCAAGTTAGGATGTAGAGGCTGATCTCAACTACTGCCTCACCAGAGAGTACAGAGCTGAGGTGCCATAGCGGAGTAGCGGAGCTGCGGGGAACTTAGGCTGACGGTCTGACCGAGTGTGTTCCGGTCACTCCGGGGTGGAAGCATACACTAAATACAATTTGACTGCGGTTTTAGCATTTCAGCACTATGTCATGAAATTCACATAATTTTACACTTCTTCGAGATGGAAAGCTCAGATGCTGACGATGAAGAAGACAGAGTTTCGGTCCGACGCAGAGATCAGATAGACCGAAAGGCTCGAGAAGATGATTGCTACAGACTCGTAAGTGATCTGAGTGAAGGAGATTACATACTTATGAGGGACAACAATTTGCTTGGCCCCCTAGGTGAAAGTACAGAAGAAGAGTTGATGAGGAGACGTCAATTAATGAAAGAAAACCCACTACAAAACTCAGAGGAAAATCCAGGTATATTTCTCTTTGGAGGGAATAGGATGGGATGAAAAAGGAACTTCATAGTATTAAATAATCACTTCACAATAGTAAATAGTAAATTATAAAGAAGTGGCATAAATTATTAGGTAAGGAACTTCTCATAAAAAAGAACTGACATTGACTTGGTTTGCAGTGAGAATGCCAGGGTAGGTTCTTTTTTTCCTGATTCACATTTGGGTTGTTTTAACTGGGAAGCAGTGTGAGGTAGACTATTGGTTTCTGTTTGGTTTTTGGTTTTGTACCTCAATGGAATGTTCCTCCTATGTCCCGAATTATTTTCTCTATCTATGAAAGTGAAAGTCACTCAGTCGTGTCAGACTCTTTGAAACGCCATGGACTATAGAGTCCATGGAAATATCCAAGTCAGAATACTAGAATGGAGGGGATCTTCCCAACCCAGGGATGTATCCCAGGTCTCCCATTTTCTAGGTGGATTCTTTATCAGCTGAGCCACAAGGGAAGCCCAAGAATACTGAAGTGGGTAGACTATCTCTTCTCCAGCAGATCTTCCCAACCCAGGAATCCAACTGGGGTCTCCTGCATTGCAGGCAGATTATTTACCAACTGAGTTATGAGGGAAGCCCTCTCTATCTATATAGATGTGGTTAAAAAAAATAGCAAAAAGAAATATTTTATATTCTAACCAAATAGTTCTCAACTGGGGACAGTTTTGCTCTCCCCCACCCTAGAGACATTTGACAACAGCTGGAGATATTTTTGGTTGTCACAGAGGGAGGCATGGGTGTTACTAGATCTAGTGGGCAGAGGCCAGGGATGCTGCCAAATACGACACAATGCACAGGGTAGCTCCCCAAAATAAGAATTGCCCAGTGCCAAAATGTAAATAGTGCTAAGGCTGAGAAACCCTGCTGGAACCTCAGATCTGGTGCCTTCTCTCCCAGTGTGAAATAGAGGATTTTACTATCTAATGAAGAGGATACTATCACTTTGGTTCTTGAATATGGTCTTATATGTGCCATGCTAGGTTCAGTCTATTCATTTGATCTGACTTTCAGCTTAATGCCAATTAAAAACCTTGGTAATATTAAGAAGTATTCAAAATTCATATACTTTTAAACCTATAACCTTTGTTTATATTTGGGCATTAATCTTATATTGTAAAACAACTTATACATTATCAAAAGCATATAAGAGCCTAGGAGTAGTGATGTTGGAGACTAATGAGAAATAGACAATAATATCAATGGAATTAAAATACTAGCACTGTATGTTAACTGGTGTTTACCTTGTAGAATTGCTTCTTTATCAGCTGAGCCACAAGGGAAGCCCAAGAATACTGAAGTGGGTAGACTATCTCTTCTCCAGCAGATCTTCCTGACCCAGGAATCCAACTGGGGTCTCCTGCATTGCAGGCAGATTATTTACCAACTGAGTTATGAGGGAAGCCCTCTCTATCTATATAGATGTGGTTAAAAAAAAATAGCAAAAAGAAATATTTTATATTCTAACCAAATAGTTCTCAACTGGGGACAGTTTTGCTCTCCCCCACCCTAGAGACATTTGACAACAGCTGGAGATATTTTTGGTTGTCACAGAGGGAGGCATGGGTGTTACTAGATCTAGTGGGCAGAGGCCAGGGATGCTGCCAAATACGACACAATGCACAGGGTAGCTCCCCAAAATAAGAATTGCCCAGTGCCAAAATGTAAATAGTGCTAAGGCTGAGAAACCCTGCTGGAACCTCAGATCTGGTGCCTTCTCTCCCAGTGTGAAATAGAGGATTTTACTATCTAATGAAGAGGATACTATCACTTTGGTTCTTGAATATGGTCTTATATGTGCCATGCTAGGTTCAGTCTATTCATTTGATCTGACTTTCAGCTTAATGCCAATTAAAAACCTTGGTAATATTAAGAAGTATTCAAAATTCATATACTTTTAAACCTATAACCTTTGTTTATATTTGGGCAATAATCTTATATTGTAAAACAACTTATACATTATCAAAAGCATATAAGAGCCTAGGAGTAGTGATGTTGGAGACTAATGAGAAATAGACAATAATATCAATTGAATTAAAATACTAGCACTGTATGTTAACTGGTGTTTACCTTGTAGAATTGCTTTGGTGTTTTGACAGTGGACTGAAAAAAAATGTCTCCTGACATGCCTCCCACAGTGGTATACAGGGCTGTGTATATGACGAAATATTGAAAAACAGACTTCCTTCAGATACCCTCTGAATTTATCTAGGATTAGTGTACTCTTTTTCTGATGAAATTGAAACTTCCCTGCCTTTACTTATAAATCTAGATAATAAAGCTTTTAAAGTATCAACTCTGTAAATGTGAAATCAGTTGGAAACATCTGAGTGTTTAAGTTCTCATTTTTGTTTGCTTTTTAAAGCAAGTGTCAGAGTGCTACTTTACGATGGCTCCAATTTTGGTAGTTCTTTTATGGCCCCTCCCCCCCTTTTTTAATTAACAGAGAGACATGCTACAGATGATGTATCCAGTGATGACTCTCTAATAGACTGCCTTACCGCTTCTGGACAAACTGAAAATGTGACAAGTGAGCAAAAAGAATATCTGTCTTGGAAAGAAGAGAGCCAAAATAGTGCTAATAGTGATGAGCTCAGATTTGGCTTAGAAAGAAATCTTGACCGTGATGATGAAAACTCAAATCCAGAGGATGAATGTGTAGCATCTGCAAAACTTCCCAGGAGAGAAGATACGGAAGGCAGCCAACAACAAGTGGAAACCCCACAATCTGAGCCACTATTTACAACACCATCTGCATCAGAACAAGATACAATGGAAACATTAGTGGAAGTCCCACCGACTAGAAGTCAGAGAAGACTAAGAAGGAGGAGCCCAGTCTATCGGAGCACCAGAGCAAGGACTGACAGTTGGTCACCTCCACATTCACGGTGGGAATTTTTTCCAAGTATTAATGAAGATATACCATCTCAGACTCTTAAAGAACCTCTCATATGTGAGAATGAGAGATCTTCTAGAACTGGGCATGAAGAAACATTGAGACAGGAAATGCCTGGACATGAGTTACAAAGTATGGGTCTTATTGAAACTTCTAAAACTAGGAATGCTGCTCATCAAGAATGTGATTCAGATACAACGTGCAGTAGTGAATCTTGGGAAGTGATAGAAACAAATCTAACCACACCCTTCATTCTCGAAGTAGAACGAGTTCATTGTCCAGCATGTTCTCTGATAGACAGCAGAGTTAGTAGAGCTCAGTTAACATCTGACTCTCCGAACATCACTACCACTTCAGAAAGTGAGGAAGTACTTCAGCCTGTGCTTTCATATTCTGACGAGGCCAGTGAGAGTGCTTCTGTCAATACCATCGGAAATCCCATTCATAGAATTTTAAATATAACATCTGTTTCAGTTCCAAGTATATCATGGCAGACAATGATAGGATTTAGTTACTCAAGTAATCTTATGGACAGTGACAGTAACTTAGAGCGTAGTGTCTCACCTCCAAGTGAAAACATAGAAAGGGCAGAGTCACCAAATGAAAGACATGGACCCAGTGGTAGTGAGAGTCGCCCTGGTTCTGCTTCAGATGCTAGATATGATCCTGATTCAAGTTTAATAGTGATCTCAGACTCAAGCCCCTATTCGATTTATAGCTCTGCATCCAGTCCCATATTCATTTCCAGCTCAAATGATGAAGATTCAGAAACTAGCTCTCTGATCTTGGTAGAGAGTGAAGAAAGAAGCTTATCAACAGGCTTATCAGAGGCTGGGCAAGAAGGGGGACGAATGACCCCAATCATAATTGATGATAGTGACTCTGGGTCCTCCCTTAACCTGGATGAGGTTATTTTACTAACTGAAGCAGACCCACACCAAACTACAGGCCTTACAACAACACAGATTGACAACTTGCCTTTAAGATATCTTGCAGAGAATGATTCACATGAAGTGTGTAGCATTTGCATCACAGAATACACCGCAGGCAACATGCTACGCATCCTTCCATGTTCCCATGAATACCATTACGCCTGCATTGATCGATGGCTGGCAGAACATTCAAATTGCCCTGTTTGTCGTGGGCCAGTAGTGGATCCAACCTGAGGCAGATAATTCTATGTGAGATCTGAATTCTCGGATATATAAAGTGTTATAATGATTTTTAAAAAAGTCATCTGCCTTATGTCCACTTTTAGAGTTATTTATGTGGAAGTATAACAATCTGAATCTATATGTAACAATCGGAACTGAATTACTTGTTCCTGAAGAAATTATTGGGCTTTCCCCAATTTCTGTTTCATAATAAAAGGAAATATTAAAAAGTCAAACAGTGTTATCCTATCTGACAATAAAAATGACTTACACACCATAGCAGTGCATTGAATTTCAATAGAAATGTAGTATGTGCACTGGGTTGGGATATTCCTGATGCCATGAGAGAAATGTTCTAATATGATATAATCAATCCAGATAGATCCTAGTAGTATCTTCTAGTCATATAAATCCCAGATATCTCTTGGCCATGTTCAATCCTGGTTGTTCATGCAAAGAAACAAGAACCCACTAAATAATTAAGAAGCAATTTAAGACTGCATTAGAGTCATTCACATAAAAAAGTCATGTTATATTCATAGAATGCCATAAAAAGCTTTGAAACCCTTCTCTTCCAGTTTATCCCTTATCCAGTTTATCTCTTCCATTTATCCCTTCTCCAGCAGTTTATCCCACCCTCCCCAATACCACCTTAACGTTTCTCCAATTCCCCACTACCAATGTATTAGTCAGAATCCAACCAAAAGCTGGTGGCACACTTTAAAAGAGTGATGGAGTATCATTTAATGAGGAGACTAAAATGTGAAAATAATGAAGAGAGACCAAGAGATGATGAAGTACCCAGAGGCTAGCATCTGAGAAGCCAGTATTAGAACCCCTAGGTTTGAAGGGGCATAGAGAGATGATAGTTCCTGCAACCCCAAATGTCTTAAGAGGTGTAGTAGAAGTCCACCCAGCAAG